GTTTGTCTCGGTAGGGAACTGTACGATCTTATCCCCTATTGTTTGATCAAATATTGACCGGGGACGAGCCTCCACTTCCATAGATCCTTGCTTTTAAGAAAGCTTTAGGGGCCAATTTCTCGTACTTGCTCAGTGTGCCCCCTTTCTTCGAGTGCCCCGCCCGGTTCACTGGGCTGTTGGCCTACCAAGCACTTGCCCGCTGCTCCTGCCGCCCGCTTGGCGGGCTCCGCGCTCGTTATCCTGACTTTTCTCTCTGCTGGGGTCCTCCCATTGCTCTAGCCATAAGCTATGGCAGCTCCAGCTCGCAACCACAGGGGCCCGCCCTGCGAGGCCAGAGTGGGCTCAGCGGTCAGCCTCCATTCGAATTATGTTAGGGGGTCTTTCGCTTTTGCCAGATCTAGAGAGATACTACAAGTCCTCCGTCCCAGATTCCATCGCCGCGGCCATCTGGTTCACCGGTACTACCAAAAAGTCTCATGCTTACGTTTCTGTTATTGATGGTTTGATTATTTTGGACCACGAAGACCCCAGTCGTGCTTCTGGTTTCCATTCCAATCATCATATTGATGATCAATCTCCTCGTGCTCTGCCATAAGAACTTGGAGTCCGTATCATGGTGAAGATAAGGTCAGGCTGTGATTCTTGCTCAAAAAACAGACCGAACGCCTTCGAGTTATTGGCTCGTCCGACCCGGCAGCATTCATGAGTCGCTCGTTCAACTGTCCCTCGGAGACAGGGTCGAGAAGTACCATGCATGGTTGCCCCCCGTCCTTTCTTTCTATCGGTCTCACCCAGCAAGATACGGCTCAGCCAAAAAAGGTAAGCGCCTAGCGCGAGCCTTATTTATTAGTTTAGTAAAGTCGCTCCCTAAAGACTAAAGAAATGGATAAAAAAGGGGGGACTTCTGCAACGGGCTATGCCACCCAAACCAACTGAGGGAAGTCGCATCCGTCCCATCGCAAGCACCTACAATGTCATGATCACATTGGGTTTACCCTTTTTTATTTGGTAGTTTAACGGACGGTCGCCCCTCCAACAATAAAAGGTATAAATATGGAAACTTCTCTGCCATTTGGATCGGAGAATTTATGGAGGAAATCGGGTTTTAAATTCCCAGAAACCGCACGATTATATAGCCAAAGGGAATAGGCCGCGCCTAAAATCATCCCAAGCGCTGCTAATGTGGCTACTAAGCTATTTCTTTGGAAAGCTCCTACTAAGATGAGAAATTCCCCGATAAAGCTGCTAGTACCAGGTGAACTCATATTGGCCAAAGTGGAAGAGAAGAAAATGGTAGGGAGATTCGGCATGGTGCTCACTGAACCTCCGTAATATCTAACAAGTCGAGTCTTATGTCGGTCATATAGAACACCAACACATAGAAAAAGGGCTGAAGAAACCAGTCCATGACTTGACATCGGTAGAATGCTACCTCCAATTCCCTGTATGTTCGATAGAGCCAAAGATTCCTCCCCCACTGATCGGAGTACGCCGATTACCCCCCGAACCGTACAAGATAGTTACCACCTATCATACGGCTTTCTAACTTCACTTCTTTTTCTGGTCGTTCCGCTCTGTCGATCGATGGTAGTAGAAGAGATCCCGAAATTTTTTACATAATGGTTCCTGCTTCCTACCCATAGTTAGCATGTATCTCCCCGGGTCATACTTGAGTATCACATCGTAGACCCCCACCCCAACTCTATCTTCCTTATCAGTGAACCGGAACATAGTGCATAGGTACTCTTCGATGCAGCGGGGACGGGACAACGTGACATACTACGATTACGTACAGAAGTGCTGCCCTTCGTCTCGGCAATATGGAACCTCTAAACAGCTCCCGTTGGGTCCTATCGGGATAGGTAGGCCCACCAAGCCTTTCCCCTCCCACCTCCCTCCATAAGACCCTCTTTATCTTTCCCGAGGGGGAAAGATAAAGAAGAGAAGAAAGGATTCATTTGGTTCTTTCATGTGACCACACCAACCCTAGGTGTGGCTTGTATCGAAAGGGTTTTCGTGCTATACACCACGTTGAGAAAGACCAACCTCCTATGTACCGTACTCTTTTTGAACCTCGAAAGGGGGTCCTCCTTATGATGCTACGGACGGCTGTCCGAAGTGCAAGGGGTCAACTCGGATAGGATAGGATTGTGCTTCGGGTGTCATATTTTGTTACGTTCTACCGCTGTTACGCCAGAATAAAAGGTTCCACACGAGCTCCCGTTCTGCGGCGTGGTGGCAGGACCGCTAGGGGAGTGGCTCCGGGTGTAGATAGGGTTCAATCTGCAGGGGTTCATGCAAATACATAGGCCCCTTCCCTTCTCTTTGGGTGGTTTATAAGGCGCTTTCCGATCTACGGTCCCTCGGAGCGAAGGGTTAGGCAGGGTAGTATGGGCCCTCTGACTTCCAGCTATGTGCTGTGCGGCTCCCGCGAAGCGAATGAAGGGAAGCTCTTCGAGCTTACGCTTACTCTCAGCCTCTTTGATTGGTAGGCGGGCGGGCTAAGCCCCCTACTGAAGATTCTCAATTCATAAGGCAAATTTGATGTTGTCGTGACGCTTTGGTTAGGCCGACTACTATAGGCTAGCTACTTCTAGCTTCTATACTGGCCCTTCCACTTTGGTGTAGTTTTAGTTTGTATTGGTACTGAATGAACATATCAAACAAAGGCGAGCAGTATAAGCCCTTCTCCGGCCTGGGAAAAGCAGCGAACTCTAGAAGCTAGGGCTTTGTTCACCTTTGGACACGAACACTATTCCGGAAACCCGCCTTAGAGATTGAACGGCAATAAGATAAGTCGACGTTCAATCTAAGACAGCGCTGAGCGCTGATAGCTTGTAGTGAACAGCCCCCTTATGAAAACCAACCGAAAGCAGCCTTTGGTACTTAAGTAGTGAAGGTTTGGAACCCTTGCAACTATGATAGAAAGCCGTTTGCTTGTTTTGCCTTCGCCTTTCTTTTGAATCAAAGTAGGTCGCGACTGTTGTATTTTAGTCGGTCGGGGGGCTTCTACGACAGCTCCGCTTCTCTCGCGCTTGCTTGCTGAAGGCTTAGAGTCCTTTCGCTAGGTCCAAAAGCTTCCCAAAAGATCTGATCCAACAGAAATCCCGCATTGAGCGTAGCTTATATGCGGCTACGGCTAGGCGATCATATCATGCCATAAAAAACTTTGATATGTATAGCCTAGATATACAGATAGAATATATGTTCATGGATAGACAGACATTCCATTGATTCTGGCCGAAAAAGCTCGTCGATCCAAATGAATCATTCTTCTGGTCTCTCTTCGCTCCCCGAAACTTACCCACGGCACAGCGCCCATTCGCTTATTAGCGGGAAGGCAACGAAGTTCAGTTCATGAGACCGCAGCGGAGTGGAGCAGCCGCGACACAAAGTTCCTTACCGCTCCGTGGGCTGGATCTCGCTGGTGCCACCTAAACGGTAGGTAGGCGGCGGATGTATGACGTTTGGAGTTGTCGTTCGTGCACCTGTCCCCAATGGAAGAATGAGTGATCCATTCCCCTGCGGATCATGGCCTTACCACTCGGTCCCCGATGGCCTGCGGGGGATTCGGTATAGCAGCCCACGGAGCGGTTCGTTTGCGCTGCGCGTTCCCGCTGGACTGGACACATGTTAGCTGTAGGAAGTATGGTTCCGAAAGTGACTTCGGTTCGCCAGTTCAGGGCTCAACTCCTCGCTTTACGTTAGCGGACCTACAGGTCGGGCCGGGGCTCTGCGCTCTTTCTTTCTGTGTGGGACGATACCGGGGAGAGAAGGAGGACAACTACATTTTGGCTTTTCCCTCCATGAGATGAGCCCAGTGCATTGGACCGATGGATAAGAGAACTGAGCTGGCCTCAAAAGCGCTTGAGCGCTCTACGTACGATGTAGACTCTATCAGATACATATATATTTCTTTCTGATGGATCAAGAATAGATAGTTGTCTCATCAATAGATAGAAATAGGATATTTCCCCTTCTTATTGATAGATTCCCTCTCTATCTCTTTCGATCTATCAGAACAGATCAGGCTATCTATCAATCGATTTGAAAATAGCACGCTTATCTCGCTTTTCGTTCATTTTCGCCCATAATAAGAAGCAGCTAGAAGTACTCGCTTCACGCCCTTTCATTCTTATTCACGTTTAGATTAGCAACAACAAACAACTCACTTAGAAGAATCTATTTGTTTGATGTTTTTAGTGAAGGAATTTATTCTGACTTCGTAGAGCCGGTGCTGCTGTTGCCTGCGCGTAGGGCCGTCCCCCACTCCCGTCCCGGGGCGCTAAGGGGCTTTTGTTTTTGGAACAGACGGTAGTGTTTTGCTGACGCCTCGAATCAAGCTTTTATTGCGACATGCTATGTTTTCTCCCCCATTGCTAGTAGGTTGATGGGTCGCACGCCCGGCACACATGTTTTGGCCTTGTGTGTCCATAACTCAAAATAGGTGACCTAACGGCCGCCGCCCGACTAAACATACCAATAGTCACCAAATTCATATGAGCTACTGAGGAGTAAGCAATGATCTTCTTAAGATCGATCTGCCTTAAAGTGGTCGAGGAAGTATATATTATAGCAATCGCGCTTAAAGTATAAATGAAAGGAGTGGAACAAAGTGTCGCTTCGGGAAACATGGGTATTGAAAATCTTAAAAACCCGTAGGTTCCCAATTTTAAAGGAATTCCTGCCAAGATGACGGATCCTGCCGTAGGTGCCTCTACATGAGCTTCGGGTAACCAAATATGAACTGGTACCATAGGCACTTTGACGGCGAAAGAGGCGAAAGAAGCAATCCATAGAAAGATTTGGCGCCGCTCACTAAATTCTGTGGTTAATGAAATTTGTAAATCGGTTGTTCCTGTTTGGAGAAGAATCAACAGAATAGCTAATAGCATAAAAACAGATCCAAGTAAAGTATAAAGGAAAAACTGATATGCTGCCTTTATCTTTCTTTGTCTCGAACCCCATACCCCTATAATAATGGTAGAGTAAGGGGTGGCCCCAAAGCGGAATTGACCGGTGGTGGTTGGTCGAAGCTCCAGTAGGTAGCCACTCCCTTCTCAGAGAACCGTACGTGAGACTTCCGCCTCATACGGCTCCGTCCCGAGCTTCCGTCGTCGGCCTTGGCATTAGACCACTATCTATGCATGTATTTGAAGCCTGGACTCTCGAATCTTTTGCTCCTCGGGTGGTGTCGAACAATAGTGCTTGCGTTGCGGGAGATGCCCGCCCGTAGGGCCCGGCCTGCTTCCCGCCCGAAAGAACCGCTCACTAGCTAGCCGGACTAGTGGGGCCCTATCTGGAGACATACTGAAACCCATGCCTTTCGAACCCCCGTCTTCCAAATAAAAAGAAAAATGGGCTCGTTGGGAAGAGGAGTGCGGCCTGTAGAGCACATGTAAGGCACAGTCCGGGTTGCTCACGCAGCGGAGAGAGAGAGGTGTGAAAGTAATAGCCTTATGTTACGGCCTTTACGCTACTACTACTGTGATGTGAGCGGTTCAAATTGGTTTCATCTTTTTCAATCATCCTGGCCGGAACTTGTACGGAGGTGCATGCATAAAGGTTTGGAACTATTTTATTATCTGAATCTTAAGGACAGGACCCCACCCTATTCTCGAACCCTCTGCCGAGCTCTACCCTGTCCGCATTTCCTTTTGAAGGGGAAAAAAAAATGTCTCCACCTGCTGCCAACAGTCTTTCTTCGGAATTATACTGAACAGGTCGATCCTCCCATCCCGTTTGTTTTAGCAACTTCTCCAAAGGTCTCCTCGCCAAGAGCTCCCCGGCGACGACAGAGGAAGCAACCCGTCTGCTGTGGCGGGGCGGCTTTTTTTCTTTCACAATAAGACCTGGACGATTATCCCTACCTTCGGTAGCTTACGAGTTTACGTCCATCCCTGGTCGGGTACAGTTTCCTTTCGATTTCTCCCTTGTAGCCGTTACCCGAATTCGCGCAAGTGTGTCCACACCCCCCAAAATTGACGAGAAAGATTTTCTCGCGAACAAACACAACCCCTACACACACCTAGGAGCACCCCTTCCTGCATATCCATACAAGACCCGAGTAGGCGGGTCGAGGTCCTACGAGGTACCCACTACTCGGAGTACCCTCCCAAAAGGAAAAAGATGTGTCTGTCAGGTTCGGTTCTTCTTAGTTGGGTTGGGCGGGTTCGACCAGAAATGCTATGCTTACACACAAGACTACCCCTCTTCCCGAAAGCTTCGCGGGGACTACTTTAGGACGACGGACGACCGCCCGTAGGGGGTTTACTGCACAAGGCCCCTGCAGAGGAAAAGCTTTATCCCAGCGAATAGAAGATGCTCAGCTCCGCACAACATAGGGATTAGCACACTTTCGGGAAGAACATAGAATAGTAGAAGATCCAGCATGCAGAACACGGCGATCATTAGAAATTCACGAATTAGAGATGCTGTAATATACTCTTTCCCATAACTTCTCATACCAGACCAACCCACTAAAATGCAAATAGGGATCAGAAATGTGGTCAATATCACGAAGAATAAAGAGATACCGTCGATACCCAAATAAAAATTGATGTTTTCATAAGGAAGCCATCGAAGACTTTCCACAAATTGAGATTTGGCCGTAGAAGGATCGAATTGTATCCAAATAACAGGGGGATACAAAAAAGTAATAAGAGAGGCGCACAGACCAATTAATCGTATCGGTCGTATTCTTGAATTTGGAATGAAAAGAGGAGTAATGCTTCCTAGCACGGGACAAAGAATAAGACCACTTAGATCAGAATAGCATTCACAGAAATGTTCTAACATAGAGTAGAATCAAACATTGAAGAGATTCATTGACAACAGTCAAAAGATGGGCGCTTCATTCCTATACAATAGGGGTCTATCAGTGCAAGTCAGCTGAACACCGTGATTGATGAGTGGGTAGGTGGGTTAGGTGCACTTCTCGCCCAGTGGGAAGTAATGAGGCTAGTATCCCCCCCTTAATGAATAAGTAGTGGGGCCCTTCCCGCGTATGCGCCTTTATTTATATTCTTTCTATTTCCAAGGAAATTTTCATAATAATGAATGCGGAGGATGACGTCTTTCAAAATACGAGTCAGGGGACGGGGAGAGGTACAAAGTGACTCGACTGAAAGGAGAGGGAGGCTCTCGAAACCAAATGAGACTAGAAATAGCATGGGCCATTCATATGAGTGCTTTTGTCTCTTCGAGACAACAAAGGGACAGCCCTCTCTCTATCTCAGTCTCGGTTTAGCATCATAGATCGATCTGGATCAAATTTTGATTGGTTGTAGCGCGGATTAAGGAGCAGCTCCTCTGGGGGGCTGTCGCCGCCTGATAAAGGCAGAAGCGGGGGCCACCGGAGCTATCTGCGTCGAGTGTTTCGATTGAAAGAGGAAGGCTAAAATGCCAGCAAAAGAGTCGTGCTTCAAAGTGGAATTCTTATAAGATCCATTGCTCGATTTTGCTGCATGCTCTGCATTTCAGTCAAAGAATGAAGCCAACCAAGACTGGGGAAAACAACTGTTCGATAATGAGCCGGTATTTTTTTATATAACCGCTCTATTACTCTTTATCTTTCTTAGAGGAATGCTCCAAGATTACAAAAAGACGGTAAACGAAGTACAATAAAACACTCGGCGTTCCGATCTCATTCTCATAATAGCTGGATTCGCGGTGTGAAAAGAAAACCGGTATTTCCGAACTAGCATTTATAATAGCTAAGAGTTCGCTGGCGAAGGGCTTAGCAGCATAGTAAATAGGAGTGACTTAAAGCAGTCCGCACAGTCTTATTTTCTCATTTCCCTCTCCTACGACCGATCCTACGGTATGGATTGTTTTCCAACAATCTAAGTTTTATTTCGTAGGGGAATGAGTTTATCATTTTATTTTGCCAAGTTCTTGTAGCGCATTAACTAAGTGACTTACGGAATCTAAAATATGGAGGCTGACTACGGCCTCAGATGATTAGGCGGGGGACAGGATTCGAACCTGCAGTCTTCAGGTCATGAGCCTGATGAGTTGACCAATTCCTCTACCCCGCTTCTTATTCTTCCCCTGATCTTTCTTTCTTTTACCTGGCACACTGAACACCACCCAATCTGGACAAAAAAGAAAGTCAAAGCCCAACTTACCTCCTAAAAGCCCTGAGGTGAAGGGCCGCTTTCTTGGAACTCATTCATAGGCACTTTCCATTAGCTAGACTGAACACACTATATAAAGAAACAAATAGTTGAAGCGGATGAAGGTTATTATTACTTATTATAAAGCCAATCAACGGCGTTCCATACCGCCTTTATAGTACCCTTGAACCAACCTTCGTCTTAGCCTCTTTTGTTCTTACTAAGTATTCCCCTCGTTCCTTTTATCTTGGACATCTCAATGTGCAGAATGAAACCTGGCGAATCTCTTACTCTACCCCCTACCCCTATTATTTAGATTAGTTTAGTCATAAAGGTTTGAAGACGCTCGACCAAAGGAGTGGATGAAATGGAACGAAAACGACTACAAGCGGGAGAGGAAGGAAAGCCTTTTGACAACCTGACTAGGCATGCGAAGAAAGCTCTTCGAGCTTCTCTTATATTATATAATATTATAGAAAGGTTTGTAGAAAAGGGCTTATTCAAATATCCCATGAAGTAGGGGCTTCAAAGAAAGCTTGTAGTTTAGGGGTGCGCAGGTTTGGAACCCGGCTAGCGCGCAATGGCTCTTTCTCTGATAGAGGCTCGCTTCTTCAAGTTCCGCTTGCTTCTTTTCATTTTGATAGGAGTAGGTGCCGTTCGCTGTCTACTAAATGAGCCTTCACTGCCCGCCGCCCCTATCTTTAATCTTAAGTAAAGTGAAGTCAAATCAATGAAGTGAACAGCCCAACCTCTTTGTTTGATTTGAAGCCTTGCCAGGAAGCTTCTACTTGTTGAAGCTTTGTTTCCCCTAATTCCGAAACACAACAATAGACTTGCCTTGTATAGGAAAAAGCTTCTCTTTGATAAGCGGTCATAGGGGAGTTCAGAAAGGATCTGATCGTAGATAGAGACTGAAACCTGTGCGGGGGTAGGGGCGGATGTAGCCAAGTGGATCAAGGCAGTGGATTGTGAATCCACCACGCGCGGGTTCAATCCCCGTCGTTCGCCCATCAATAAATGGACCATTTGTTTCGGAGACACAAGACAAACCTAGAATGAATTCTTTCTGCAAGTCATCTCGAGGCTTTCAAACGCATCCAAGCAATTGGTATCCGATTGAAACATAGAAAGCATAGATTCGCGTCGCCTACTTGCTGAAAGCAAAAATTGAATGGAATTATATGAATGCTAATCAGCCTTACACTTTTGAGTTCATAATGAGGATAAAGACTCGAACTTTCTTTGTTAGTACGAGACGGGACGAGAGCTTTTTTCAGAATGACTGGAGAAAGGAAGAGGCCTGGAGCAGACCTCCCTCTTTGTGTAGGGCTTGCAATCGGTCTTGTCGCTCGTTCATGTCATTCTGCTGGTCTAGGAGTGGCTCCCCTGCTTCGGGAGTCTCCGCCCTTCTCTTATGGCGCAACTAGACCAGAACGAGCTAGCTGATAGAGCTCTTATGCCTACTTCTACAAGTACGGTATCAAAGATATTTTTGCATGGGACCTACGTTCTGGCCTAATTGTATTAGCTCTAGCCGTAGCGCTTTCTGTTATGATTCCAAGTCTTGCTCCCACTCGTGTTAGTTTCAATGCTTTTTTGCTTTATACGTAAGTTTGGCTTGGCCCATTGGCTAGTTCGTAGGCCCCGTCCCCCTTCGTATGGCTAATGAACTCCTCGCTTTAGTCCGTTCTTTTCCTTCTTTGGGCTCGGGTCGATAGTCGCCGTGGTAGTAATGTCCCGGAGCCCGGCTACCGACCCGAGGCGCCGATCGGGAAAGGCATATCATAAAGGGACGTTCAACGTAATTCTATAAGAGCGTTACCACAACAAAAAAAATCCGAGTCTTGGCAGTTCAAGTGAAAGTTTATTAGACTAGTACCACTAAGATGGCGGGGAAACTTACTTCCGAGAGAGCTGCTTTCGCCTCGGTAATGACCTAACGAGAGAGATGGTAGTGAGGCAATCGATGTAGTTCCAAGTCTTCGATGTCCCTCGGAGACTTACAAGAGTCAGAATGGGTACTAACCTAGTAGTAGAATTCTATTGATGATGAGCGGGCCCAGATCCCCCGGTTTGTGAGCCAGGTTCCCCCCTTCTTTTTTCTTGGCACGAGATGCCCCGTTACACCATACACGGTAGGCGAAAGACCAAGCACAAATCTCGATGATGAAACATTTTTGTATTTATACATGTCCGTCTACTCCGGCTAATAGTTGAGCACACTCTTTGTTGTTACTATGGGGTCCTGAAGCCCAAGGCGATTTGACTCGTTGGTGTCAATTAGGCGGTCTGTGGACTTTTGTTGCTCTCCACGGCTAATAGGTTTCATGTTACGTCAATTTGAACTTGCTCGATCTGTTCAATTGCGACCTTATAATGCAATCGCATTCTCCGGTCCAATTGCCGTTTTTGTTTCTGTATTCCTAATTTATCCGCTAGGTCAGTCTGGTTGGTTCTTTGCGCCTAGTTTTGGTGTAGCAGCTATATTTCGATTCATCCTCTTTTTCCTTGGTGACATTTCTTTATGTTATTTGTACCCGTAACCGGTTTATGGATGAGTGCTCTTGGAGTAGTCGGTCTGGCTTTGAATCTACGTGCCTATGACTTCGTTTCTCAGGAAATCCGTGCAGCGGAAGATCCTTAATTTGAGACTTTCTACACAAAAAATATCCTCTTAAACGAGGGTATTCGTGCTTGGCAAGATCAGCCTCATGAAAACCTTATATTCCCTGAGGCCGTGGAAACGCTCTTTAATGGAACTTGAGCTTTAGCTGGTCGTGACCAAGAAAGCACTGGTTTCGCTTGGTGGGCCGATAATGCCCGACTTATCAATTTATCCGGTAAACTGCTGGGGGCTCATGTAGCACATGCAGGATGAATCGTATTCTGGGCCGGAGCAATGAACTTATTTGAAGTGGCTAATTTCGTACCAGAGAAGCCTATGTACGAACAAGGATTCATTTGACTTCCACACTTAGCTACTCTTATATGTCAAGAAAAAAAATAGATTCGCTGTTATAAATCAAAATAGGGGGGGGAAACTATGCGTTTTTGGGATCTACGAGCTCCCTGGTTAGAACCTCTAAGGGGTCCCAATGGTTTGGACTTGAGTAGACTGAAAAAAGACATACAACCTTGGCAAGAACGGGAATATATGACTCATGCCCCTTTAGGTTCTTTCAATTCTGTGGGTGGCCGAGATCAATGCAGTC